CGGGTTGGCCTGCTTTTACATCGTTGTGTGAAACCCTCCTTGCGACCGCGTCCACATGGTTGGATCCTCGCGGAGGCATCTTACGAGCAGCTGAGCGCCATATCCCGCGCGGCAGCCGTGACAGCTCCAAAAAAGACATGGACACACGAAATGGAACAAGCCGAGTCCGCCGCCGAGGCAGCACACGAAGCACACACATTGCCTCACCTGGAGACAGCCTACTTTGAGCCGAATGTACCCGAAAAAGGGAGGAACGAAATCAAGCCTTACGCCGTTGCTCCGCTGTGCTTCTGGAAGCCCGCGCGAAAGGACTTGGAGCCTCACCCAGCCCGAGGTGGCGATATCTTCACGGCGTGGCGGCGCCGCACCCTCATCCTCTGGAATCGGTTGTGCTCCGCACTGAACTTGGCCGCGTATGCGCCCTGCCTCGGCAACAGGCAAATCTGCATGTCCGTCATTTTGTGCGGTTTCACGTGCCATACCGCCTTACACTGCTGCTGCTGCTCGCTGCACTCCTTTGGTTCCTGGTGGCTGGGAAATGGATCGGCCTTTCCCGCCGTATGTACTTGACGTGGCCATCCGCAACTCTTTGCTTGGCTCAGCCCCTGGCCCCGACGACATGTTGAATGAATTCCTGCACCGTCTCGTGCCCGTTGCGCGTGGCACAATTAGAACGATGATCCACAACTCCTTCGCAAATGGCAGCTTGCCTGGCTCCTGGAAAATGGGAGATGCTATTCCTATCCCCAAGCCTGGGAAGGATCCATGCCGCCCAGAGAGTTACAGACCCATCACGCTGTTCTCTGTGTTACTAAAGTTAACCGAAGGAATGATTCACCGCCGTCTGTCAGCGTTATTGCCGCACCACCCACGTCAATTTTGGATTTGCACCTTCGCGTTCTACGTCGGACGTGGTGGCACTTGTTGTCGACAAATTACTCGTGGACTGAATGAGTTTGGCACTGTGGAGTATGAGCGCCCTGGAGACGACGCCCCCACACGACGCCCTCGTCGCCATCGCTCGCTTGTGGTCTTGATTGATTTTCCGACTGCGTTCGACACCACTGACCATGGGAAGTTATTCTGCATGCTTGACAGACTTCCGCGCCTTGGCCACGAACCAAACGCTGGCTGCACAACCACCTGAGGGGCCGCTATGTTAGGGTATGCACTCGTGAACAGCACTCCCGGAAACAACTCGCCTCAGCTGGAGCACCGCAAGGCGGCGTCCCGGGACCCCAACTCTTCCTCTGCTGTGTGGATGATCTGCTGCGCCGCCTGGGCAGCATCTATTCTGCCTCCGCTTTCATGTACGCTGACGAACACACACTTGTTGCTTCAGATGCGGACATCCATGCCTGTGCTGCGGCAATGCGACCGCTCTTGTCTCTTGTGGCCACATGGGCTGCCGAGCACAGCCTAAAAATCAACGTCGCTAAGAGTGAAGCTGCTCTATTCCACATCTCTTCACACACACACGGTCTGACGAGGACATGGTCGATCTCCATCTTGTTAGCGGGAACCTGCGTATTCAGTCACGCCCAGTGCGCTTGCTGGGCAGCACGTTCGATCGACTTCTTAATTCTGTTACGCACGCTTCCACCGCTGCAAAGAGGACCATGCCACGCCGCTATCAGCTGCATCTGGTCGCAGAGGCGGGCGCGTCCCATCACACCATGCGATCCTTTTTGATTGGGTACGTTCATAGTGTGCTATTTCATAATGGCGAGGCAATTGTCCCGTGACTCGCCCCCACTCACCTCCACAATATGGAGGTACGGTACCGCGACGGTAGCAAAACATTCTTTGCCTGAGCGCATCTACGGAAGACACATCTGTCTATTTGGAAGCCAATATTCTCCCGCTCCGGAAGATACTTTGGCGTCGTGCATTCACACAATACGAACGCTATATACGCCTCCATGATCACGAGGATTTGCGTTTCCTTATCTACTCGCAACCTATGCCGCCGTCCATGCATGGGAAAGCGGCGACATCAATCCGCTTCCGAGAGATGCTGTTATTAACGGATTGCTACGCGTCTGTGACATTATTGGGACACCCACAACCACATTCGCGCGCCTCTTGCCCACATCGAATTTTTCCCTGAGA